CTCGCTGGTGTGACACCCTCCGCCCTGGAGACACCCAGCGCTGTCCCGCTGCTGTAGTGCCCTCATAACCCCGAGCGAACGCCGGGAGGAGCCGGGGCCGGTTCGGCCCCCGCGGTGCCCGAGTGCTGTCCCAGAGCCCGCGGCCGGCGGGGCCGCTCTGTGGGATCCTGTGCCCAGATCCTTTGACTTTCCAGGCGCGGCAGCAGCAGAGGCTCGGGCAGCCCCGGGAGGGGGCACGGTTCCCTGCGCCAGCCGGGCTGGGATTCCAGCGCTGCCCGAGCCACCGTGCGGGGCCCAGAGAAAAGCGGGACTCGGGGACAGCGGGGAACGGGAGCGTGGGCAGCGCTCACCCCGCGAAAACAACATTGTGGGGATGTTTGAGGAAAGACTGGACGCAGCACCCAGTGCCATGGTCTGCTTGACACGGTGGCGCTGGGTCATAGGTTGGGCTCCGTGATCTCAGAGGTCCTTTCCAACATGTAATTCTGTGTGAGTGACCCCGAGACTCTGTAAGTCCCTGTCCCGGCTGAGCCCCGGTGCAGAGGTGGCTCTGAGGCGGTTTTTGAATGGCACGGAGTGTAACCACCTCAACTCCGGCCACGGGGACAACTGTGTCCTGCCACACCTAATGTCACCTACAGCCGGGCCGTGGCAGGGGACTACAACTCCCGGCGTGCTCCTCGGCACCAGGACTACAGTTCCCCGCGTGCCCTGCGGAGCCACTCGCGCCCGTGAGGCGGGAGGCGCGAACCGGGAACCCTCAGCCCGGAGCCCCTCACTCCGGAGCCCCTCACTCCGGAGCCCTCAGCGCTGGCCGAGCGGGTCCCGCCGAGCACCGGCCGCAGCCCGCCCCGCCACCCGCCGCCGCGGGCTCTGCCCAGGAGGTAGGAGCCGGTGCCCCGCTGCCCCCTCGCCTCCCCTCCCGCGCCGCGTCCCCGCCGAGGCGGCGATGCCCGGCCCCTGACGCGGCTCCTTCTGCTTTGCCAGGGCCTCGGGCGGCGGCCGGCGGAGCGGCACGGCCGGGTTCAGGGCACCGGTGAGTCCACACCGGGCAGGGGGCGGTGGGTCCTCTGTCCTCTCCCCCCCCGCAGCTGCTCGCTTGGATCCGCATAGCGGGGAGTGTTTTTCACTGGAGGGAGAAATCGCTCGTTCCCTGAGTTAGTGCCGGCCCCGCAGTTTAGCTCCCCTCCTGGGAGCTTGTAAAAACCAAATTTTGATTTTTTTTCTTTTCACTTCACGCTGTAAATCTCCAGAGTGCTGTAGGATGTGATATGGAGCAGGCTAATGCTACATAGACCAGTCCCTGTCTTACTTAAGCTTCCCACTCCCTGCCCAGGGGATATTTTTTTTCCTTTCTGCTCCTGTTTTATCTAGTGGCACACACACTGTTTTCCCATTAGCGCCCACATCACTGTAGTGTCTTATCCAGGGCTAAATTGCTCTTAAATGTCTTCTGTGCTCTACAGGTCCCATCTCCAAGCTCCTTCCAACCTAATGGAGCCAGAGAAGCAGCCCTGAGGTGTGAAATTGAAGAGCTGAAAAGGAAAGACCTTGCTCTAGACCAGGAAATTGCACAATTATTGTCCGAGTATGTCCTTGGCAAGCTCAGTGTTCACTTTGTTGCCTCAATTATTTTTGTTTTTAAAACAGGAATTGGAGCTGAGAGCTGACCTTGTATGATGACATTGTTATGGTGCAATGTTGGTTCCAGTGTTACTGGGAGTGATGGAACCTGAGGGAATTCTTTCCGATTTATTTGGTAAAGCAAAGCATGTTTTACTGGGACCTTGCATAAGAGGATTTTAGCTTTACTCTGTATGTTCCTGAGGTAATTACATGTTAACTGGGAACAGATAATTTCAGCCCTTCGTTATTTGTTGTGGAGGAGTGTTTTTTTCCATTAGGATGGAAATGGTAGAACAACAAAGGCTGTGTCAAAATCCTGTTTGGTGTTATCTTACAGAGGCTACAGCCTGGAGGAACTGGAGAAGCACATCTCTCTGCTCCATGAATACAATGAAATCAAAGATGCTGGGCAGATGTTGCTGGGCAAGCTGGGTAAGGAAGGGAAAGCTGCTGGAGAACTCCTTAGTTGGTGTTTTCATACAGACACAGAGAGAAGCTGCTGCACCACAGAGGCACAGCTTGTGGTACAGGCTCTTCACTTCTAGGCCTGTATTAGTCAATCATTGTGCAAGCACAAATGCTTCTGTTGTTGTTTTCTTGGAGTGTTTTTAGGACTGAACATGGGAAATAATTGTTATTTACCATGTACTTTAGTCTCTGCTATGGATTACCAAAATCTGATGAGTCTTAACCAGTTTTTGTCAGTTTTCTTCCTCATGTGTTTCGAAAAAGCAAAGTGTTGAGACAGGCTGCACAGCTGCTAAACCTTGGGTTGGTTTCTTGGCCATGGAAGGTTGCATGGGGTTGGTGGGGTAGGAAAACATAACCTTTCTGAGTGATCTGATCTATGTTTAATAACAGCAGTGGTATTTTTCTTCCTAGCTGTTATCCGAGGGGTCACTACAAAGCAGCTCTACCCTGAATACGACCTGGAGCTCAGTGACTAGTCCTGAACCTGGAGGCTGCCACGTCCTGCAGAAGTGACTGTCACTGGGCACACGTGTTGGTGTCCTCCTGGCTTGGAACTGGCAGAAGGTGCCCTCAGAAGGACTTTTAATTTAAATGTAGCATTTTGCCACAGGGTGTGGTTTAACAGCCTTGTTCCTAAGAATCTTTGGAACATGGAAGTTGTTGTATCTATAATTTTCTGCTGTTGGGAAAGGGATGTAGGACTTGGGATAATTTCAGCTACTACCTGATCAACAAGATTTTTTTTTTTTTTTTAATTGGAAAGGTTGTAACTCAGGTTGATGTTGAAACTCTTCCCATGAAGCTTTTGCTTCCCTGCAACATCCTGAGGCTGTTTGGCTACTGAATGGATAGAGGAAGTGAGGACATACAAATGTGCAATGTAGTATCTGCTTTGAAAGGAAAACCCTCAGAAGTAGGGAGGGAGGGCTGAAATTATGGTGATTTGAGGGTTTTGTTGTATGGTCAAATCTGGAGAACTCTGGGTGTTCTGCATTTTTGTAGTTACCTGCTCTGGTATCTGGAGGTTCTGTATCATTTCTGTAGTAAAATGGCAAAATGTGAAGTTGTGTTAATTGTCCACTCTGAATAAAGTAGCCTTCACATTTCTCAGTAATTCACTTTAAGAGCCTTTAAAACATTACATGAATTTGGGAACAAATCCTAAAACCATTCTGTGACAACTCTGACCTCTGTTATTGGGATGTTTTCTGTCAGTGGAGACAGGATGGCAGCACTGCCCAGGTGCAGGTGCAGAACCACCTTCCTCTGCTCTTCGTGCAGACTCACTGAGAGCGAGTGCTGTCCTGGACACTCAATGTCAGTATTAGGGCTCAGGTTGACTGCACAGACTAAATTTGGCTGCCTTGGGCAGTTTTAAGTGATGAAGTGCTCTGCTGACTGCAGATCCCTTGTCCTTTTTTCACTCAGGCTTGATGTCCTTCTGCCCATTTCAACTGTCTAAGACCTTCTTGCCCAGTGAGTTTCCCCTCTAGTCTCCAGTCTGTTCGTTATTCCCAAATCTGAATCAAATTAATCTTTGTTGTGATTGGAAACCAGGAGCCAGTCACAAGGCTGCTGCCGAGAACAGAATTGGTTTTGTGCTCCTGGCTCTGGACCTGGCACAGAAACATCACTAATTAGTATCTTGTTTTGCCTCGAAAGCTGTGGGGAGGGGTCTCGAGCAGGGGCACAGCCAGCCTGTGTATTCCACGATTCATCCAAGCAGGTCTCTGTTGATGTGCAGCTGTGCAGTGTATTTACCGTGGCCACATCAGAATGGACTCTCAGGGGGATGGTTACAGGTATATCCCACACTCCTCTGCCAAGTGTGGAAAATTCCCATGTTTTGGAGTAGTTTTAAGGGGAGGAAAAAAAGTCACAAGAAGGCAAGAACTGGGAAATGTAAACTTTGTTATTAACACTGCTGTATTTTGTGTGTGGAAGAACTGGTTCAGCCTGGAGTGTTCCAACCCAAATGTTCCTCTGGCGATGGCACATGCAACTGGAATTTGATTTTGCAATGGGAAGTATGCTTGGGAATTCTTCAGTTTGTGTTAGGTGTGAGCTATGGGGGTGAAGTACAGTGCATTGGAAAGTTACTGAAGGTTATTTAAGGAGTGAGAAGTCCATGTTTTCTTCCCCCCCTGTGCAGGAGCACTGGGATTAAAGCTTGCAGCTGTAGCTGTGCAAGTGTCCTGCCCAGGGGCTACACTTCAGGTAGCACAGAGCACAGTGCCTGAGGAAGGTGCTCTGATCCCAATCCCTTGTCCGTGGAGGATAAACACCCACAGAACAACATGAGGTAAGAGCAGAATGTCCTTGGGGAGTCCCTGCTGCTGGCACGGTGGCTCTACCACGCGGTGGCAGCTGCGTTCCATGGCTGTTCTGGCTGCTCTGTGCAGCCCAGGGAAACCCCCCACTGAGAGATTCCAGGGACTAAATGATTCCTGGAATGGTTCAGGACAGGACTGCTCAGTTGTCACTGAGGTACTTCATCGTGGCCCCTCCAACTGACCCTCCCAGAGCTACTCTTGTACCTTCACGGCTGTCACCTGAGGATGAAATACACTGGCTTTTGTCCAAGTCCAGGAAAGGAACAGAACAGACTTCTGCTTTCTATAAATAAACCTCCAAACTCGCTAACTAAGTGTAGAGCTGGAAAAACACTGAGTGCAATAATGGTAACTAATTCACATTTTTAACTTAAATTTAGAAAGTGTGCTTCTGCTAAGTCAGACCCAGCCATAACGAGCTGACAGAGACCAAGTGGTGTCACACAGCTCACTGAGTTTCACCGAAGGCCAGGACGTGCTGTCTGCACTGAGCTGCCTCAGAGCAGGGTACCAGAGACCCCTCAACACCCTTGACTCCTCAGGGAAAAAAAGAATTAAAAAAAAAAGTAGCACATACTTGGATTTTTTATGAGTCAGGGTATTCATGGATGAGTTCTGAGCCAAGAACCAGCCTCTTCTTCCCCTTTAGGTCACTTTCAGTTTTATTTCTTGTGTCTCTGTACATCAGTCCCTATTACAAGCCACTTCTCATCACACACACCTATTCTGGATATAGCCATTTCCTTGCATTGCTTTGGGTAAGCTCTTTTCTCCTGCACATCCCTCATTTAGCCTGATCTTGAGTCTTGTGTCTGAAAGCAGAGCTAATGGAAAGAAAACACTCTAGGGCAACAGAAGGAAAATAAAATCCATATAGTAGATAAGTTATGCTGCCAGTTGCAAGGAACAAATCTGTGCAGTCAAGGGAATACAGCTCTCTAAGACGCTATTTCCTGCTGCTAAACAATTTGGGAATGGGTTTTTATATCCCTTAGCAACCTAATGTTCTCAAAGTCAACGGGAATTTTGGCACAGCTACCTCCCTTTAATGAACTGTTTGTGATGCTTTCAAAAAACTGATACAGCCTGTCACTGGGAAAAAAAGAACGCCTCTGATTAAAGTCATTTCAAGGAAAGGGTGGAAGTGAACTGCAATTAACCTCTTTCCTTCTGCTGTCCATCAGGGATTGCTGCAGGGATTGCTCATGGATGTCCCCCCTCAGCACTCTCAGCTGTCTGCACATCCAGCTGATGAACAGGACTGTTACCCCAGTGTCCCAGTGTCTTCTCTATCTCTGTTTCCACTTTAGGCCGGCAGTTCCGAATGGCGTCCCGGATACTCCGCAGGTCCCACTGGGTCCTGGGCAGGGCATCGTCCAGCGTGAAAACCCCATCGCGTGTCCTGCGCACCTGCGTGCACACGGCCGAGGATTTCAGCTCCAGCCCGATCTCGTGGACTACCTTCCGGAGGTACTGCTGGGTCTCATGCAAGCAGTGGATTTCTAGGAGGGCAGAGAGATTCCTTCAGAAGCAGCAAAGCTGTGACACAAGCTCAGACTTTGTGAATCCAGACATCACTCGCAGTCAGGCTGAAAGAACTGGTTTGGCAGAAGACTAAGATACAGCACGGGTGGATTATGATTTTCTGGAATACTGCAGGGTGTCTTAGCCCCTCACAGAGTGAATACTTTAGGAAAACAAACCCATAAATACAAGAGAATTATGTAGAAATTTAGATATTTCAAAGGCGATAATAAAAGGCGCCTTTTCAATAAGGCAATTAGTTTGTGAGGAGAAGGAGAATGGATGCAGGAAAGCAAACCACGCTTTAAAAAACCCCAACAACCCAGCACTGAAATGAATTGCACTGAATCATTGGGATAAGAAGAATTTTGCTCCATAGGTATTCACGATGCAAATTTTCTGGCCTCAGATTTAGGTCTGGAACTGGCAGGGAAAAACCTACGAGCTGGGTGTGCAGCTGGATGGATGTACCAGAACAGCTGCAGTACTGTGAAGATTCCAGATCTTTCTACACCAAAGAATCTTTCAACCACCCTGAAGAGTTCATCAAAAGAGATGTTTTGGTGACTTTGAAAACTACAAATCCTTAAAAGTGTTCTGCAGGGATTAGCAGTTACGAGTTGATGAGAAATACTCACCAAGTCATTTTGCATTAAATCCCAAGTAAGAAACTGAATTTTACCAACTTATTTGTCATAACACAGAGTTCCTCAGTACATTCTGGGCCAGTCCTACCTAGCTGGAATTCTGGAAGTGCAAACTGGAGGCATCGGATCGCTGTGATTATCGGGGGGCTTTTATCCATGGGGCGAATCAACCCTTTGACAGCCAGCTCATAAGCCTCTTGTGTTTGCATATCAATGTTGGAATACCTGGGAAAAAGAAAAAAGGGGGGAACACAGACATTTAGTATTTCTCTCCAATGGGATTCAAAATATCTCCACTCCCAATACAGCAGAGCTGCAGTTTCTGTTCTTGAAACTGCCTCTCTGCTGAGTTTTTGCATGTATTTTAATACTGTCAGTAGTTGTAGCACAGTTTGGGAGGGAGGTACCTGGTCATGTCTGCAAGATATTTTTGTCAGCCCTAATGTAGCAAATTGGTGTTAAAACAGCTGGAGATTTTGGGATACAAGAAGGACACTTAACTGCAGCCTCTCACCAGGTGAGCACTCCCAGTAACTCCTCTCTGCCCCTGGCAAGCATGACAACCTTTAAAAACTTCGATTATGGGAAACAAAACCCTCTCATTTGTTTTAAAGACCAGTAAATGGCAGTGGGATCAGGTCAGCTCGTGGATACCCACAGCCCTTGGAATACCCACATCAGCAGGGCCTTGTGATTTGTCCCTTGAATGACAGCAAGAATCCTTTCCAGCTTCTCCCTTGTGATATGATCTGCAAATATTAAGGCAGAAACAAAGTCTCAATTATCCATCCAGAAACTGGGAAGAGACAGCAGCCTAAAATGTGCCACCGAGGTATTGCTGCCCCTTGGGCAGCCACATCAAAAGGGGCTGATGAGAGGTGGCCTCAGCAGAGCCACTTTCCCTGGCTGTACATGGAGCAGCACAGCACTGGACTGCAAAGGGAAGGGTTACTTTGCCTAATTGATTTCCAGATGTTGATGCTCCAGTTTGTCTTATCGGGTGTTTGAACAGAGTTTCATTCAATGAAAGCTTTTAACTGCTATCACCAAGTGTGATTTACAGAGATCTGGGTCTTGACCAACCCAGCAGCAATGAGTATGGCCAGCACTTATACTGGCTTTTTATATATTGTGTTATATTTAGATCAATAACAAACAGAAAGCATGTAAGGAGCAGCTTCTGTTGTGCAATTCACCTGGCTAAATGCTTTGCAGTTAGTGTGCTGTTTGGTGTTCTGTGTTTTTAAAAAAAAAAAACAAACCACACATAAAATCAGTTTCTTACCAAATGTTGTCTTCTCTATTAGCTTCCCTGTGTCTGAGAAGTCATCAGTGGCTTTACCAAACAGCCCACCAACAGTGTAAACCTGGAAGAAAGGCAAAGAGTACAGTTTAATCAAAGAAATGCCCCCAGCAACTGAGTAGCAGTGTTGTGCCACTCAGCTGCGAAGACTGCAGGCTACAAGAGTGTTGCACAAAAAGACAGCAGCATCCGAGGCTCTAAAGGCCATGAGTGGATGCTCATGGGAAGGGTAACATTCTGGACCTTGAAAAGCTCTCAGAAGCATTGGAGAGCAGAATCACCATCACCAAGTCCAGGGCACTAGGATAAGACCAAGGGTATAATCACCCTCCAATGTTGTGAGGCCATTCAGAGCCAGCACCTACCTTGGTCAGGTGGCAGTTGTACAGGTCAGTGAGCAGCTTGTTCCCATGGCCAATGCCAAGCACTGAAACACAGAAAATGGGGAACCTGCTATTCACCCACTCATCAAGTCACTGATCTGCATTTACAGAGTGCTGCACACTCACACCACCCCTTTCCCTGGACAGGGCTGTACCTCCTTAGGAGTCACGTCTGAGCAGTGCAATTAGAGCCCCAAATTATTGCCTCTCACGAAAACTTTAAGGCTGTAACCAGACTTCTTGGATTTCTCCAGAACTTTACACCTTGGTACTCAGGGCAAACACTCAGCAGTGACATGGGTGGTAGAGCAGAGATGGGGGGTTATGTGGCAGTTCAGGAGCTTGGAGACCCTGAGCAAAGCCCTGTGTGCTCGGGGTGAGGGGTCACTGCAGCAGCTTGTGGGGCATTTCTTCTGTGTTTCAGCACTTATCCTGCAGCTGGGCTGTGAGACCCGATGGCTGACGCTGTACAGCGACTCAGCTTCCACCACTTCTTCCCCCCGCAGAAACCCATCACCTCGCAGAACATGGTGCCAGGCCAGGATGAGACCCACCGAAGACTCCTGAAGACTTCACGTCCAGCCGGTGACCCGCTCCGATCTTCAGCCGCCTGAACCGCGGGCCTTGGACTGCAACGGAGACAGCGGGGTCAGTTCATGGAGTCCGCCCGGGGCTCCCACCATCCCCCGGCCCCCACCATCCCGATGCTCCCACCGTCCCCCGGTTCCCACCACTCCCACCTGCCCCCAGCCAAGGCCTTTACCGAGGGGGTGCTCGGCCAGCACCGGCACCCTGGTAGGCACCAGCTCCAGGGCCCCGCCGCCGCTCGGTGCCGGTGTCGGTAGGAAGCGGACCTGCTGCCGCGGGGCGCGTCTCGGCGCCGCGTTCAGCTCTGCAAAGGGATGCGGGGGGGGGCGGTCAGGGGCGGCCGGCGACCCCCGGGGATGGGATGGGGCGGGACAGGTCCCGCCGCCGGCCCCGCCACGCTCACCGCGCAGCAGCCGCGTCTCCACCGCCTCCCGGACGCGGCACCAGGCCACCCCCGGCGGCTTGTACACGGCGAAGAGCCCGGCCGGCCCCGCCATGCCGCGCTCCCGGCCCGCTCCGCCCCGTCCGGGCTCTTCCGGGGCAGCGCCGGGGCCGGGCCGGGATGCGGCGGCTGCTGCTGCGGGCGGCGGGAGCGGGGCGGGCGGGGGTCCCGCTGCTGCGGGTGGGGGTCCCGCTGCTGCGGGCGAGTCCCGCCTTCCAGGGCGAGTGCCTTTCGCCAGCCCCACCGCAGCCCCTGCGGCGTTGGGGACAGTCCTTCACCCGGGTCTGTCCCTCCCTCAGGCCGGTCCCTCACCTGGTGCTTCCCACAGGCAAAGCCCGGCTGAGCCACAGCGACCCGCGGGGCTGGGAGGGACACGGCGGGGAGGAAGAGGAGGAGATGGAGGAGGAGGAAGTGTGGCACCAGCTGTACCCCGGGCACATCCCCACCAGCCCGCTGCAGAAGGCGCTGCTGGCAGCCGGCTCCGCGTTCATGGCGCTCTATGACCCCTACAGACACGGTAAGCCCGGCCAGGGCAGTGCCTGCCAAACACGTCCGGCAGATCCCGCCCCGTGTCTCCTAAAGGTTCACAGGAGTTTATTTCTCCCTCTGTTTGGGTAAGACCTTTAGTTATGGGGTAAGTGCAGGGCTGAGAGCTGGCCCGGGGCAGGAGGCTGTGAAAGAGAGAGGGTGAGGAACCCAAATACACCCCAGTGGCCTCCTCACGACCGTCTGTGATGCCACCCAGCCCTGTCTCATTCCTCCATGGTCCCTCAGGTCTCGTGCCTGCACCTACCTCCCATCCCCAGGAAGGGTCATGGGCAGAGTAGCCCCCGAGGCTGAAGATCTGTGGTTTGTGGGGTCCCCGCTTTGCCACGGGCTTCCTGCTTGCTCCTGGTCAATGGGTTCATTGCCTTATCTCCTCACCTGCCAACCTGGAACAGCTAGGTGTTGCGAAAACCGCTCTTGGGTCACTCTCTGGTCTCTCTTTCAGACATGGTGGCAGTCCTTGGGGAGACCACAGGCTGCCTGGCCCTGCCCAACCTGCGAGACAAGATGAAGCACCACCCTGAAGGTTACCGCATCCTCCAGTGCGTCCCTCGCATCCCTCCCGCCCTCACCCTGTGGTTCCTGTGGGGAGGGAAACACACACCAAGCACATTCCTTGGGCCCTGTGAAGGGAGAGCTTGAAAGCAACCCAGGCATTTCGTTAGCTCTAACCCTCCAGGCTGTTTATTTCACTTTATTTTGAATGATCCCAGGAGCCCTGTGACACGTTTAAGGGCGGGCACTGCTGCCTGTCTGTTCTGCTTCACTGCTGGAACTGGCAGCTGCCAACAGCAGGAGATGCAGCAACAGGCGCAGGGGAGAAATCCATGGATGTGGATGCTAAGCAGCAGTAAGAACCCACCACACCCATGGATTCTTCTCTGTGCCTACTGCTGCATCTCCTTGCATTAGAGACTTCACCTCTATTGGTCTGCCTCCTCCTTAGACACCCCCATATTTTCTTTCCCAGTGCCCAGCAGTACCTCTCCAAGCTGTGAAATGAGGCCACTTCTCTTTTTTATCTTGTTAAGACTTGATCACTTTTGCTTCCGTGTCTGCAGGGACTTGTTGAGCACAGCAAGGCTGAGGCCCAGGAGAGATTTCTCTTATTAACCAAGCTCTCACTGTGTATCTGCTTGCCTTCTCCCTGCTCCCTGTCATGTGTCACACCTGCCACTTGTGTGTTGTTTGGGTTGTCCCCCACACGGGGGCTGGGGAAAAGCTGCCTTTTGCCATATGTTTGTGCAGAGCAGCCTGATCCTGGCTCTGGATGTTGACCCAGAAAAGCATTAAGAGCACAAGAATGGTGCTGAGAGCCAGAGAAACTGCCCAGGGAGAGGGGACAGCAGAGGCACTGAGGGCTGGGGAAGGGACATCCCCACCTCCTTGCCCCATGGCGTTGCAGGGATTTTCAGGGGTCCCATTTGTGCACACAAGTCTTTTTTTTTTTTTTATCCTCCAAGCTGCTCCCTTTCACATCAAATACACAAGGAAGTGTCTGCAGCCAGTATGAAGCAGGTGCCAGTCCTGCTTATCTCCGTGGCACCTCTGCTCCAGGAGCTGAGCAGCTCCTGGATCAACTGCAGGGCTTTTATCATGGGACATATTTACCCTGTGCATGGAAATAAAAGAGCTTTTGTTTACTTCCAGGGCTGTGAGGCACCTGTTTGCCAACAACCTGGAGAGGAGACCTCTCCATGTGCGGCTGCCACGTGGCTGGTGGTGAAAGCCTGAGCAGGATTGAAATTAAACCTGTGTTTAGAGCAAATTCCCTCCCCTCTTTAGGGCTGTTCCTTTGAAGCTCTGGCTGCTTTGCAGGGACACTAAAGAGCTCTGCTCCGCAGGGCCGGCTGTTGCTGAGGGCTGTGCCTGGCTGGCAGCACACACAGCAGCAGTGTTTCAGTGCAGAGGACACCCGTGTTTTTCCCACCAGAGTTGCTGCAGGGGCACAAGATGAAAGCTCTTTTATTGCCAAGGCTCCAGGTAGATCCCTTAAGCAGTTTGTGTGCCAGCCTCAGCAACAGGAGTGCAGACAGTGCTGTCCCTGCAGCGAGGAGTCAGGATCCACACAAGGAAAAAGCAGAGGCATGGGATGGGGGTTTCCAAGAGCTCCTTTTCTCCAGGACCCCCAGCTGGGGGTTTCAGTGATCTGTGTTTTGCTTTCAGGGAACGGCCTCGCATCCGTCTCTCCACCCTGGACATGTCCAGGCTGCGGGGGCTGCCGGATGGCTCGCTGGGCCGGGAGTATGTCCGGTTCTTGGAGGTCAATGTGAGTGTGGGGTTTCATGGTGTGCAGATTTCTGTGGCTGATCCTTGTGCTGGGAGCACAGGTGTGCTTTAGATGGAGATTGGAGCCACGGAGTTGAGTTGGTCCTCTTTGGATTTTGCAGAAGGTTTCTCCAGACACACGGATGCCACCCAAGTTTGTTGATGATGAAGAGCTGGCCTACGTGATCCAGAGGTACCGGGAAGTCCACGACCTGATGCACACCCTCCTGGGCATGCCAACCAACATGCTGGGTGAGCAGCACAGGCTCAGGGGGCTGCACTGCCAAACACCGTTGATGCTTCTCAGCTGCCTCTCTTGGGAATGAAGGCTCCTTCATCCTCAGCCCAGTTTGGTGTGTGGGGAGGTTTGCATCATCACTGTCCTGCATCACTGGCTCCGTGGTGACCAAGAGGCCATGGGATGTCACCTTTTCCCTGCTGGGAGGTGCTCTGCCCAAGCCCTGGGCACAGGCAGCTGCTGGGTGGGTGGTTGCTGCCTGGCAGGGAGGGTGGCACAGAGGGATGTTTCACAAGCTCTGTGTGAAGGCAGAAGGGGGCTCTTTGTTTCTCCTTCTCTGCATGTCTCCGTGTCCTTTGCCCTCGTTTTGTGTCTGACTCAACAGCAAGTCACAAGTGGAGTCTTATTGGTACTTGTGGGAACTGGTGTGACAGGTCTCCTACACAGGCTTTGGCTGAGCCCCAGCGGCTTTTGTAAAAGGCCTGTCCTGTGCTGGGAGACCAAGAGAGCCACCCAGGCAATGGCATTGCTGAAGATCTGCAGGGAGTTTTCCTGCCTGTTCCCCAAGCTCACTGAGTGCTGTCCCTTTGGGGTGGGTGGTGTGTGACAAGGCTCATCCTGGCACAGAAGGAGGCCACAGCCAGACTTGGGAAGCATTCCCAGTAGCCGTCCTTGGGAAGGGCAGATGTGCAGCCTGCATTGTGGGCCCTCAGGGCTCTGTCCAGCCCTTGACCTGGGTGTTCTGCCTGCTCATGGCCTCCCTGCTCCCTCCCAGGTGAGGTGGTGGTGAAGTGGTTCGAAGCCGTCCAGACGGGGCTGCCCATGTGTGTCCTGGGAGCGGCGTTCGGCCCCGTCCGGCTCAGCACACGGTAGGCACCCCGCTCTGCCCTGGGGATGTGCCAGCCTGGGTGGTGCTTCCCTGTGTCCTCTGGGGATGAGAGGGGACACTGCTGGTTTGCAGGGGGGAGTCAGTCCAGGGTCCCTCTTCCCCAGGGAAGCAGTGACAGTGGGAGGCACAGCCTTGCCTGGTCACTAAAGCAGATCCTGATGCCTAATCTGCGTTCAACACCAACCCCCTGTGCCAGGCAGGAGTAATTTCCAGGCCTTGGCATGTGTTGAGGGCCAGCAGGACCCTCACCACACTGACAGCTGTCCCCTGCCCCTGCACATCTCTTTTGGTGGCCCAGCAGTTGCAGAACCTGAGTTTTTGTCTTGGGTTTGGTGCTGACTGTAACCCTCCTGGCACACCATCCTCTGTGCCTCAGTTTTCCCTGTGAGTTAAGCAGAGGGGATGCCAGGAAGATAGAGGGATACATGAGACACATGGGTTTGTCACCTCCCTGCAATGGGAACTTGGAGAAGGAAATCAAAACCAAAGTATGGACATCAAAACTGCCACCACCTGTGTTGTTTGTTCCAGAAAGCTGCAGGTCCTGGCCACCGAGCTGGTGCCCTGGGCGATCCGGAGCGGGCTCAACGCCAGCTGTGTCCTGAATGTCTACTACGAGCAGCGCTGGGAGCAGCCAGTGGAGTCCTTGCGGGAGGAGATCGGCATCTTCCCCCCGCCAGCCGTTCCAGTGTGAGAGTTTAGGGAGGGCACAGGGGATCCCGGTTGGCAGGCAACAGCTGTTCCCTGCCCCGCTCTGTATCCAGCACAGCGGGGCTTCATGGACCCGAGGGCTGAGTTTTCTCCTGCCAAGAGCTGGCACCATCCTGTTGGTAGAGGCCAAGTGGCACCTCTTTGTGCTGGTGCCAAAAACTGGACCTTTTTTGCTGTTTGTCATTTTGGTTCAGGGATGTCAAGCCCTGATGTGCCTTTGCCAGCTGGGTCTGGCTGCTCAGGTCCCCTGGCAGCAGCATTCTGGTACTGATGCTCCCAAATGCTGGGGTGGAGAGGGAGCACACTGCAGCAAACTGGTGCCTTGGCCTTCTGCCTCTCTGGGCCTGGGCAGTTAAATCCTTCCTCCCACTTTCCCCAGGAAGATCAAGGCTTAAAATCTTGGGACTGCTCTGGACTGGAGCTA